GCGGTAATGAGGTCTGAGGACGCGCATTGTGCACGCAGCATAGCAGCAGCAGGCAGGGGCGGCAAGGAGGAGCTGCTGGTGGTGTTTATTATTTGAGGACCCCTCCCCCTCCACGCCTCCTCCCCTCTGACGCCCGGGCGCAACGAGTCGCAAGGGGATGCGGCCGCGCGGGGGTGGCGTCACACCGCTGCGCTGCGCACTGACCCGGCGCGACACGCAGCATAGAGCAAGCCGGTAGTACTGTGCGTACAGCGGGTGCAACCTGGTGCACTCTGCCGACATCACGGCAGGGCAGCGGAGGGGGAGGGGGAGGAGGCCGGGGGTTACCGCGGGCTCAAAGTGTGCGGGATTCGAACCGAGGAATGGCCGGTAGTGGTGGTGGTACTGGTGCTGGCGGCAGCCGCGAACCACCACCAACCCCCTCCAATCGGTTGTGTAGTTGATTCCCCCACCCCCCGCGGTGCGCGGTGGACGGACAGCATCCGGTAAGACTGGCTCTGCGTTTACTGCGCGCTCACCATCCCGTGGGGCCTGTAGTACACAGCTATGCACCCCCGCCGCCGCGCCGCCCCCGCGCCGCCCCCGCGCACCTACCGCACCCCACCCCCCGCCTCGCCCCGCCCCACCGGTGATAGTTCCAATGTGACGCAACCTCCGGCCGGCCGTTTCATCCCGTCCAGGCGACCACGGCCAACGCCATGGGGTTGACGGAAGCAACCACACACTTGGATTCCCTCTGACGTTTAAAAAAATTATATTGACACTAATTTGTCCATGATTTTTCTGAGGCGTTGGCAACCAAATAACCCTGCAACATTGCGCTGAACGGCTGAACCATTCCAAATATGAAAGTCAGTCTTATCGTGAAAATAGCGTGGTTCATCCATACCAGAGGGCGATCAGAGAACAATAAAACGCGTTAGAACGTTTTATAAAAGTTGGTCGACCTTCTAGGTCAGAAGGGGTGAAACCTCGACCCATCAGACCTTTGTGTTCCACTCACAACTTATTTTTTTCCCTCCTCGGTTAGCTAGCTGCATCATACACTAACTTCCCATACAGATA